ATTACATGTTTCCTTTTATAAGGAACTGTTAAACTATTTTCCAAAGTGACCACATCATTTTACAGTCCCAGCAGCAATGTGTGAGTGATCAAGTCACTCCATATGCTACCAATGCTGGCTTGGCTATTGTCTCTATTTCTTATTTTAGCCATTCTAATGCACATGTAGACATACCTTATTATAGTTTAAATTTGCATTTGTCATGTGACTAATGATATTGAACATCTCTTCATGTGCTTATTTGGAATCTGTATATATCTTTGGTTAAAAATTTCTTTTGTGAGTTTTGCCTTTGTTGCCTATTGAGTTTTGAAAGTTCTTACACATTCTAAGTACTAGTCATTGATGGGTGTATGGTTTTCAGATTTTTCCTTTTAGTCCACGGCTTATGTTTTCATATATTTGGCAGGATCTTTTATATGGTACAAGTTTTTAATTCTTATGAGGTCCAATTTATAAATAGTTCTCTTTATGATTTGAGGAGGTCCAATTTATAGTATTTATTTTCAGGATCACATTTTCAGCATCAAATCTAAGAACTCTTTGACTTGCCATAGATCTTTAGGATTTTCTCCTGTCGTTTTCCTAAAAGTGTCATAGTTTCACACTTTATATTTAAGTCAGTGATCTGTTTTGAGTTAATTTTCATATGAAGTGTGAGATTGGTGCTGAGATTCAGTTTTCTTGTATACAGATGTTCAATTCCTCCAATAGTATTTGATAAAAAGTCTGTCTTTCTTGACTTCTGTAACTGTCAAAATCAGCTGGGCATATTTGTGTAGGGCTATTTCTTCAGTCTCTTTTTTTTTAAGATTTATTTATTTATTTATTTATTTATCTAAAAGAGTGGCAGAGAGAAAGGAGAGAATATATATATATTTTCTCGCGTATGGCAGTGATTAGAATTTCCAGTACTATGTTGAGAAGAGCTGAGAAGGGGCCATTATCTTTTTCATGGTGTTAGAGGGAAAGCATTCAGCATCCACGTTTAAGTGTGATGTTTGCTGTAGCTTCCTTATAGCAGCTCTTTATCAAATGGAGGAATTGCTTCTTGATTCCTAATTTCTTAAGAGTTATTATGAATAGGTGTTGGACTTCATCAATACTTTTCCACATCAATTGATATAATCATGTGATTTTCTTCTTTCTTAACCTGTTCATATAATAGCTTGTTTTGCTGACTTCAAATATTGAATCTGCTTTTTTTTTTCTTTTCTTTTCTTTTTTTGATAGGCAGAGTGGACAGTGAGAGAGAGAGACAGAGAGAAAGGTCTTCCTTTGCCGTTGGTTCACCCTCCAATGGCTGCCGCGGCCGGCACACTGCGGCCGGCACACCGCGCTGATCCGAAGCCAGGAGCCAGGTGTTTCTCCTGGTCTCCCATGGGGTGCAGGGTCCAAGCACTTGGGCCATCCTCCACTGCACTCCCGGGCCACAGCAGAGGGCTGGCCTGGAAGAGGGGCAACCGGGACAGAATCCGGAGCCCCGACTGGGACTAGAACCTGGGGTGCCGGCGCCGCAGGCGGAGGATTAGCCTAGTGAGCCTCGGCGCCGACCAGACTCTGCTTTGTATTATAGGAATAAATCCCAACTGATAGTGGTATATAATTATGTTCATACATTGCTGGTTTTGATTTACCAACATTTTGTTGGAGTTTTTAGTATCTATGATTGTAACAGATACTGATGTGTTATAGTCTTTTTCCTCACTGTCATTTGTTACCAAAACTCATTGTGTGCAATGACTTGGGTGGTGTTCCTGTCTCCACTACTTTCTTGAATTGGTATTCTAGAAAATGGGTGTTAATCTTAGCAAATGATAAAATTCTACAAAGGAATCTTCTGGGCCTGAAGATTTTCTTTTCCTAAGAACTTTTTAAATACATATTTAATTTACTTCATAAATTAAATGCATATTTAAATACATATTTTAGGGGCCGGCGCTGTGGCTCACTTGGTTAATCCTCTGCCTGTGGCACCAGAATCTCATATGGGCACGGGTTCTAGTCTCAGTTGCTCCTCTTCTAGTCCAGCTCTCTGCTGTGGCCTGGGAGTGCAGTGGAGGATGGCCCAAGTGCTTGGGCCCTGCACCTGCATGGGAGACTAGAAAGAAGCACCTGGCTCCTGGCTTTGGATCAGTGCAGCACCAGCCTTAGTGGCCATTTGGGGAGTGAACCATTGGAAGGAAGAACTTTCTCTTTGTCTCTCTCTCTCACTGTCTATAACTCTACTGTCAAATAAAAAAAAAAAAAAGAATAAGGACATGCTTTCATATAACCAAAATTTTAAAAATAAAAATAAATAATAATAAATACATATTTTAAATTCATATTTAATTTATTTATTATTTATTTAATAGCTTAAGGCTGATCAAATTGTTTCTTTCATTTAATTGAGTTCAGTGATTTGCCATTTTTCAAAAATTCACCCATTTCTAGAATTTATGAGCATGAAGTTACCTATGATACTCACCTATCCCATGGTATTCACTGGAACTGTAGTAATATCTCCTGCTTTATTCCTTTTTCTGATAATCTGTGTGTTTTCTCTTTATCTGTGTCATTCTCACTAGAAGTTTAGCAAGGAGCCAGCTTTTTGTTTCTTGACTTCTCTGTTTTTTCATATGTACAGTTGTATTCACTTCTGTCCTTCGACCTACTATTTCCTTCCTTCTTCATACCTTGAGTTTTTATCTTCTTTTGTTTCTTGGCAGTTACACTTTAGATTATTGCTTTGATTTACTCTTTTCAAATGTAACTATTGATTGGTATAAATTTTCTTCTAAGCACTATTTTTGCTGCATCCCACATATGTTGTATTTTCAATTTCATTACATTATTATTATGTTTTGTACTTTAAAGTTTCTTCTCAGATTTCCTCTTTGTTCTATTGGCTATTCAGCTGTATATTGTCCAGTTTCCAATTTTCTATATCTTTTTAAAAAAGATTTATTTATTTATTTATTTGAAAGGCAGATTTACAGAGAGGCAGAGAGAGAGAGAGAGATCTTCGATCCACTAGTTCACTCCCCAAATGGCCGCAATGGCCGGAGCTGGGCTGATCTGAAGCTAGGGGGCACGAACTTCTTCCAGGTCCCCCCCGTGGGTGCAGAGGCCCAAGGACTTGGCCCATCTTCCACTGCTTTCCCAAGCCACAGCAGAGAGCTGGATTGGAAGTGGAGCAGCTGGGACTTGAACCGGCATCCATTTAGGATGCCAGCACTTATGGTGGCATCTTTACTCGCTATGCCACAGCACCAGCCTCTCAGTTTCCATTTTTCAAGTCTCCTCCTATTACACATTTCCAATTTGATTCCACTATGGTCAGAGAATATACTCAGTACGACTTCAGTTTTCAAAAATTTTTGAAGTTGCTTTTATAGCACATGATACGGTCTATCTTGTGAATGGTCCATGAGCACTAGAAAAAAAAAATGTATGTTTTCTACTGTTCTTAGGTGGAATGCCCTATCTAGGCCAGTTAGGATCTTTTTTTTTTTTTTTTTTTTTTTTTTTATCTCAGAACTGATTCTCTCTTTAGTAGCAGTTGTATCATTTACTGAATGTAGAGTGTTGAAATCTTCAACTGTGGTTGCATATTTGTCTATATCCCCTTTCAGTTTGATTAGTTTATATATTTCAGCTCTGTGGTTTTGGTGTATTCTCCTGGTAGATGGGTATTTTTTAACAACAATATTTTCTGTCTTTTCTGTAGTAATTTTCTTGTTGAAAAATATTTATTTGAGAGGCAGAGAGATAAAGAAGGAGAGAGAGAGATAGAGAGAGAGCCCGTTCACTGGTTCAGTTGCCTGCCATTTGGCTCAGTGCTGAGCTGAGCCAAAAGCCCGGAGATGGGAGCTCAGCTCAGGTCACCCCGTGGGTTGGGGGAACTCAGTCACTTGAGCCATCACTGCTGCCTCCTAATGTGTGCATTAGCAGGAAGCTGGAGTCAGGAACCAGAGGCAGACAGCAAACCCGGCACTCGGACGGGAGATGCAGGGACAGCTACTTGGTCAAATGTCTGCCCCTACTTTGAAAGCTACTTTATCAGATGTAGAGCCACTCCTTAATGTTTACAGGGTATATCTTTTACCATCCTTTCATTTTCAATCTAGCTATGTTATTTAAAATGTGATTTTAGTACATAGCATATTATTGGATGATTTTTTTAAAAATCCATTCCACCATCTCTGATTTTTAAATGGTATATTTAGACCATTACCTTTAAAGTGATTATTGATTCATTTTATTTACCTTCTTTCTGTATATTTCCCATTTCTGTTCCCACTGTTTCTTTTATTTAAACATTTTTAAGGATTCTGTATTTATATGTGATTTTTTTTGTTTATTTCTGAATAGCTCTCATAGTAGTTGCTTTAGAAACTTCAGTATATGTAGTAACTTGTCATAGTCTGCTGGTATGCAGTTTTACCAATTTGATTGAAGTGTAGAAACTTTACTTAACCTTTAAGTTTTCAGCCGTATTTCTTTGTGTGGTTTTTCAATCTTTCTCTCTCTTTTCTTTCTGATATTCCAATAAAATGAGTGCTAACTCTTTTGTTATTGTCTCTCCAGCCTCTCAGATTCTGTTCATCTCCTTCCATCTGTTTCTCTCTGTCCTTTGTCATCTCTACTGTGTTTTTAAGTGCGTGTATATGCATTTATTTAGCTGGAATATAAAAATTATCTCGATAAAATCTTCCAGAATTAATAGTTTGAATAGCCAAAAAACAAAAAAGTAAAAAAGCTAGCACAACCTATTCATATGGGCTCTGATGGCCTCTACAGCGGGGAGGGAGAGAGAGGTTGGTGATTTCCAGAATGGTAGAACAAGAATATGCCGTGAATATTTCATTTGTGGTATATTTGTGTTTTAGTGAAACAGTTTTATGATGTTAATAGTGGAATATTGTTATATTCTTTTGACTGTAGAAATCTGGCGCAATTATCAGAATAGCAACCAGTTGTTGCCCTTTTAATGTACTGTTTTTTGTTTCTTCCAGGGCTGGTGGACTAGGCCTTAATTTTGTTGGTGCCAATGTTGTCATATTATTTGATCCTACTTGGAATCCAGCCAATGATCTCCAAGCTATTGACAGGTAGAACACCATCAAATCTTAAAGTGACCTGCAAGTACTTTAAGTCTAACAATGCTCCTGAACTTTTTGGGTTGCCTCTGATATGACTGAGGGAAACCTTGTGAAAGCTTCTCTTCACTATCACCTCCTACTTCTGAATCCACACAGTCATTCACTTTCCATCCATCTTCAAATCCCATTAACATGACAGAAGTTACTTGGAAAGAGCAAGGCCATAATACTGCAGAAACATGGGAAAGTTTGCTGCTGGTAAATCAGAACTTTTGAGAAGCTCCTGGACATCAGAATGCAGAGATCTGTGTGATCAACCAGTCAGCAGAGGAAAACCACAATCGAAGTCCACACGAAAGAAGAGAGCAAGCTCAAGCCTGGGCTTAGCAACTGCAAAATGTGGCACTTACCAGAGAGCATCCTCCTGGGAAGCTAATCAGTGCATCAGTTCTAAAACAAAGTCCTCTCCCACGCCCTGTGTTTATAGAGGGGTTAGCCATGACACGTGTTTCTTGATTGAAGCTGAAAGAATAATTTTGCAGTTTTATTCAAAAGTGGGAATCTGTAAGAACGTTCCTAGAAGGGGTGTTGGGATTAGCAGAGCAATCCCTAAGTCAAGCTCCACATGATGCAAAAGTGAGAAGGATTAAATAGACATTGTGTTACCCACATGGAAGCCCAGGCCACCTGCTTTGTTGTCATTGTGAATGGGCAGTTAGTACTTAGAGGCATTTTAATAAAGTACTAGCATGAAGAAAAAGGGCCAAGGCAAAAAACAGACATTGAAGGAAATCAAATAATGGGATACTGGGGGGGAAAAGTATATCTAAACAAAAGCAATTCTTAGACTTTTTTTTTTTTTAAAGATTTATTTGTTTGAGAGAGCCACAGAGAGAGGGAGCGAAAGAGAGAGATCTTCCATCTGCTAGTTCACTCCCCTAAATGGCTATGACAGCCAGCACTAGGCCAGGCTGAAGCCAGGAGCCAAGACCTTCTTCCAGATCTCCCATGTCGGGTACCAGGGCCCAGGCACCTGGGCCATCTTCCACTGCTTCCCCAGGAACATTAGCAGGGAACTGGATTGAAAGTGGAGCAGCTGAGGCTCGAACCTCATATGCCCATATGTGATGCTGGCCCTGTAGGGGCTTAATCTAGCATCATAGTTGGTGGCTCTACCCGCTACTCCACAGTGCTGTCCGCCAGCCTGCATTCTTTTTATTTTTAATATTTTTTGAAAGATTTGTTTATTTATTTATTTATTTAAAAGGCAGATTTATAGACAGATAAGGGAAGAGACAGAGAGGTATTCCATCTGCTGGTTCACTTCCCAAATGGCTTCAACTGCCAGAGCTGGGCCAATCCAAAGCCAGGAACTAGGCACTTAGTCTGAGTCTCCCTTGTGGGTACAGGGGTCCAAGCACTTGTTCCATCCCCCTACTGCCTTCCCAGGCCACTAGCAGAGAGCTGGATCAGAAGTGGAGCAGCCAGGACTCAAACCTACATCCATATGGGATGCTGGCACTGCAGATGGAGGCTTAACCTACTATGCCACAGCACCGGCCCCCCCAGTCTACATTTTTAAAAGGTCCCCAATTGTGCATCAAAGGAGACTTACCAACCCACAGTATGGGAGAAAATATTTTCAGTCACATATATGACTAAACATTAATATCTGTAAAATAAAAATAATGCCTAAAACTCAACAAAAGAACGTTATAATTCAAAAAATGAGCAAAGAACTTGGATATTTTCCCAAAAAAGATCTATGAGATATACAAATGGCCAATAAATATGTCATAAATAATTAGGGAAATACAAGTCAAATTACGATGAAACACTATTTCACATACATTACAGTGACTATGATAAGTAAAAATGGCAACAAAATAAGTGTTGGTGAAGATGTGGAGAAATTGGAACATGTGTGCATTGCTAGTAGAAGTGTAAGATGATGCTGCCACTGTGGAAAATATGGTGATTCCTCACAAAATTAAACATAGAAAACAAAACCGAGAGTCTATTCTTTGCAAAGATTAAGAAAATTGACAAATCTTGAGCTGGATTGACTAGGAGAAAAGAGAAAAGACTTTAGTAACTTAAGTCAGAAATGAAAGACAGGACATTACCAATTTTCCAGAAACAAAAAGGAAAGTACTATGAATAATTACATACCAATAAATTGCATAGCCTGGATGAAATGGACAAATTCCTAGAAATATACAGTCTACGGAGACTGAAACATAAAGAAATGAAAACCTAAACAGGCCTAACACTGCTGGTTGATTGAATCAGTACTTAAAAACCCCCCAACAAAGAAAGGCCCAGGGCCACAAGACTTCACTGGTGAATCCTACCAAACATCTCAAGAACACCAATCCTCCTCAAACTCTTTCAAATAATTGAGGCGGAAAGAACACTTCCTAATTCATTCAGTGATTCCAGCATTACCCCACTACCCCATTACCAAAGTCAAAGACGCTACAAGAAAAGAAAACTACAGTCTAGTATTCTTTATAAATATTAATGCAAAAATAATAAAATTCCCAGAAACTAAATGTAGCTGCATATTGAAAGTATAATAAACCATGATATCCCAAGTAGGATTTATTCCTGGAATGCAAGCATAGTTCAACACCCTACATGTCATCTGCAAATATGGATATTTTCACTTCCTCCTTTCCAGTTTTGTGTCCTTTATTTCATTTTCCTTCCTAATTGCTCTTGCTAATACTGTCAACACTGTATTGAATAAGCGTGGTGAAAGTGGACTTCCTTGTCTTGTTCCAGGTCTGAGATGGTTTCAGCTTTTCCCCATTCAGTATGATATTGGCTGTTGGTTTTTCATAGCTTTATAAATTTGAGGTATGTTCCTTCTCCACCTAATTTGTGGAGGGTTTTTAATCATAAAGCGATGCTGAATTTTATCAAATGCTTTCTCCACATCTATTGAGATGACCATATGGTTTTTATCCTTCATTCTGTTGATGCGATTTATGACATTTATTGATTTGTGAATGTTGAATTACCCTTCCATCTCTGAGATGAATCCCAGTTAGTAGTGATGTATGATTTTTTGATGTGGTTTTGGATTCAATTTTCTAGTACTTTGTTGAGAATTTTTGCATCTATGTTCATCATGGATATAGTTCTGTAATTTTCCTGTTGAGTCTTTGTTCAGTTTTGGTACCAAAGTGATGCTGGCCTTGTAAAAAGAATTTGGCAGAGTTCCATCCTGTTCAGTATTTTCGAATAGTTTGAAGTCTTGGAGTTAGTTCCCTTTAAATGTTTTTGAAGATTTCAGTAGTAAAGTCATCAGGGTCTGGACTTTTCCTTGATGGGATACTTTTAATTACTGCTGTAATCTTGTTGCTTGTCACAGATCTGTTCAGATTTTCTGAATCTTCTTGATTTAATCTTTGCATATAGCTTTTAGTAGTTTCTTACAAAAGTGTGATCATCTCAATTGATGCAGAAAAATATTTGACAAAATCTAAGACTCATTTCTGATAAGAAAATGAACAAAGTAAAAATAGAAACTACCACGCCGGCGCCGTGGCTCAATAGGCTAATCCTCCACCTTGCGGCGCCGGCACACGGGGTTCTAGTCCCGGTCGGGGCACCGGATTCTGTCCCGGTTGCCCCTCTTCCAGGCCAGCTCTCTGCTATGGCCAGGGAGTGCAGTGGAGGATGGCCCAGGTGCTTGGGCCCTGCACCCCATGGGAGACCAGGAAAAAGCACCTGGATCCTGGCTCCTGCCATCGGATCAGCGCGGTGCGCCGGCTGCAGCGGCGGCCATTGGAGGGTGAACCAACGGCAAAAGGAAGACCTTTCTCTCTCTGTCTCTCTCTCACTGTCCACTCTGCCTGTCAAAACATAAAAAAAAAAAAAAAAAAAGAAACTACCTCAACATTAAGATTACTTCTTTTAAATGATTTATTTATTTATTTGAAAGGCAGAGTTATAGAGAAACAGAGATCTTCCATCCACTGGCTCATTCCCAAAATGGCACAACAACCGATATGAAGCCAGGAGCCAGGAGCTTCTTCCAGGTCTCCCATAGGGTGCATCTTCCCATGCTTTCTCAGGCTGTTGGCAAGAAGCTGGATTGGAAGTAAAGCAGTCAGGATTTGAACTTGCACCCATGTGGGATGTTGGCACCTGCTCTGCCACAGTGCCGGCCCCTGTAAAGACTTTATGGAAAACACAGCTAATCTCATACTCAGTGGTGAAAAGACTGAATTTTTCCTCTATTACCAGCAACAAGGAATGGATGTCTGGTTTTTGCCAGAAAAAGATAAATGCTGTGTGATTTCTCTAATACCTGCTCCTAGAGTCATCAGATTCATAGAGACAGAAGGTAGAGTGATTGTTGTCATTGGCTGGGAGAGTGAGGAATGCAGAGTTTGATTTAATGGGTACAGAGAAGATGAACAAGTTCTGTTTGTAGTGATGGGAGTTGAACAGAATCGTGAGTGTGCTCACAATATCCCTAAGTGGCAGGCGCTCTTGTCATCCTCGCTTTACACGTGAGAAGGCTGAGGCACAGTGAACCTCAGTTACTTGCTCAAGTTTGCAGCCCGTGAATGGCAGGGTCGGCATCTGAATCCACTCTTTGAACCAGCCTTGCTCCACTGACAGCTGTCATTTTGTTTTCATTCATCATGACAAGCTGCCAAGGAAAGTAGTCCAATGAAAATCCCAGGAAAAATCTCAATCTTTATTTGCTGTAATGTACTTTCTCATCTAGGTCATCAGGACCTATTATCTGATTTGTCCCAATATTCCCCGGAGCACAGCACACTGTGCTTCAGTACTCAGTAAAAGTTAATTGACAATAAAACTAAATGAATAGCATTCCTCCTCCCCTTCCTCTCCCTCCACCAGCTCTCTGGCAGGAGGAGCCGAGAAAGGGAATAAAGACACTCACCTATGCATTGGGTAACAGTAACAGTTCCTTGGCGCTTGTCTCTGCATGCTGGAAGGCTCATCACTTACAAGCCCCTGTTTTGTGGATCAAGAAATTGATGAAGCTTAGGTGCAAAGTTACACATGCATAAAATTTGTGTCTATAATGATTAAAAGATGTGCATTCTAACGGAAAACGCTTGTGTGCCAAACAGCTGGCTTTGCACTCATCCACAAGACATTTCCTTAGATCCATTTTTTATTTTGTTAGAGCCCAAATGCATGTGGAAGAGAAAGGCTGATGAGAACCGGTCCTCCTCCAGCAGGCCGCACGATGGGAGTGAAGACACAGCAGGTTCTGCCCACCAGTGCTGTGTCGCAGGGGCCTCCCTTCCCTTCTGGCCATGTAACATTTGCAGGACCCAAGATAACCTCTCATAAAAGTCTTCCTCTGTGAGGAGGCAGGGGAGGAGTCAGAAGGAACACCAAACATAACAACATAGGTTCAGAAATACTGTTGTCCCAAAGTGTGACATTTTCAATCAGGTAAGCAGTAGGGCCTTGCCTCTGTTCCCTAAGCAGCTGTAATTTGTACTTGGGAACAGGTGACCTCATTCAGAACATCCAATAAAGCCTGCATAAAGGAGACGCTGCAGGGCACAGACCCAGAGTTAACTGCGGGCGTGAGGCAGGCTGGAGTTGGCGTGAGCACCGTGCTGCCCATCTCAACACCTGGGGCACCAGGCAACTGAGGGAGTCAGTCGGGCCCGCCCACCAAACCTGAATCTCTGGGTGAGGATTGTAAACCTGCACTTCCACAGACTTCCCAGTGGACTGACTACACTCTCCTAAGATTGTTTAAAGCTTTAAACAGCTTTATTATAGTTGGCATACATAAGTTAGATGTATTTAACATGCTTTTAGCAATTGAAAAGTTTTCAGATATGTGTACACCTGCGAATCCATCACCAGAATCAAGATGATGAGTGCATCCATCACCCCGAAAGTTTTCCTGTACCCCCTTGTAACCGGTCCCTCCCGCCCTTCCTCATCCCCCATCTCCTAGCAACCATTGATCTTTTTTCTGTCACTGGATTAGTTTACATTTGGGGGAGTTCTATAGAAATGAAATCATTTGGAAACAATCCATTCATGAGCTTAAGACTGCCATTGAAAGGAAAACTTTAATTTAGGGAAAATTTTTAGACAGTGGGAGGTGATGTTTGTAACAGAATTGAAGTTATTATCTATATTTTTTCTATAATACATTTCTCCTTAATAACTAGTCTTTTAGATGAATTCCTGTTTTTGTATTATTAAATAAAATCATGTATCTAAACATAAAATGTTTCTTTTTGGATTAAATAAAATTTTAATAATGTTCCATTGCTAAGTCCAAAAGCTCCCTTTTGAGCTCAAAGCTATTGTACTTGATTTTTGTTTGTTTCTAATCTTTTGCAGAGCGTATAGAATTGGACAATGCAGAGATGTTAAAGTGCTCAGGCTGATATCCTTGGGGACTGTGGAAGAGATCATGTACTTACGGCAGCTGTACAAGCAGGTACATACATTCCCCTTTTTCTAATTAAGAAGTAAATCTTTATTTTCAAACATTAGGAAGAATTTTGTGTAAAATAAAAATAAAAATAAAAATTACTATATAATAGAAGATTTAATAAGATTATAAAATAGCCTCCTCAATACACTCCTGTGAAACAGATGAATTCTTGAGTTCATGGAATTTTACAACTGGAAGTTTCTTAGAGCAGTAATTTATACACTTGAATATATACACATGAATCATCTAGGGTTCTTGTTAAAATACAGATTCACATTTAATAGGTCCAAGGTTGATCCCAAGATTCTGCATGTTATTTACTCATTCATTTTTTTCATGTATTTATTTATGTGTTTTTCTTACTTAGAGAGAGATGGATGCAGAGGGAGCTGGTTCATTCCCTAGATGCTGCAATGGCCGTGACTGGGCCAGGCTGACACTGGGAGCTAGGAACGGAATCCACATCTGCCAGAAAGCTGGAGTCTGGCCAGAGCTGAGGCTTGAACTCATGCACTGCAGTTTGGAATACAGGCATCTTAGCCAGCATCTTAACTCTCAGACTGAACAATCCTCCAACCCCGTCAAGAGTCTACCTTTTTATCTAGCTCCTGGAGTGTCAATACTATCAGTGTGCAGAACACAACTTGAGTAGTGGGGTCACACCTCCCCACGCTGTATGCCACAAATGGTCCCAGGTGCACTGAAACATTGAACCAGCAGCTCCCAGAGCAGTAGTAGTACTTAAACTTGCATCCAGCCTTGGGTACTGTCCTCTGTTTACTCCAGGTAGATGTTCATAGGTTACTATTTTTCTAGGTGCCGTGACATGAAGAAACTTGGGAGCCCTGACTTAAGAGATACTATACATAACAGAACTGGGACCCAGAATTGCTCCAGTTAAATGAAATTATAGGAATAGAACTAACATACACTAATTGCTATGCTGGGTCTTTCTGTCTTCATCTTAAACTGCCTTAACTCTTTAATGTGCCTAGGATATCAGTTACTGCTCCATTTGTCCTCTGAATAAACAACATTTACTAGTTTATAACTGCTCACTTGAGAAGATCTGGAATGAGGTTCAAGTTTAATTGTAAATGTTAAATTTGAATTGCTCCCTATATATTCAGTTGGCATCTATTTAAGAGCAAACATCTGCCACATGTGGTGGTAGTTAACCTAAGAATGATCCAATCTTAAATTTATGCTGTTTTCTTCATCCTAAAAATAGAATTATACACAGCAGCTTTGGGGTTTTATTTTTAATGGCATTTAGCTCCATAAGAAACCATTCATCTTTTTATTCTTTGGTATAGCACAACTATTTGAAAATTATTTTCTAACCCATTTAAACAATACTGTCTTAGATTTGTCACCACTGACAGTCTCTCCTCAATCATGTAGTCATTTTTCTCAACCCATTACTATATACATTGCCTTTTTACCTATCATCTGACCCATTTAATGAGATAAAATGGCCTGTTATGTATTATATAGTAATATATAATAGAAAGGCTTCAGAAGATAAAGTAATTTAAGTTTTCAGAACTTTTTATGATACAAATAAAAATAAGATGGCAATCATATAAAGAAAATATATTAAATATGGAATTTGAACCAAGGGACATATAGAGCACACGTTCTAGCCCCCAAGTGTTCCTCAGATCTTTTGTGGGGAAAAAAAAAGTCAAAAAATGCTATTTCCTAAACCCTGCACCCTGTGAATGGCAGTTTGTGTGAATAAGTGGTTTCTGCAAATGTAAGGATTTTTAAATGAGAGGGATTAAGAAGCAGAGAAAAATGTGACACAGCCAGGAGAGAGGGCAGTGTAACCATAAGGCAGACACTGGAGTGATGTGGCCACATACTAAGGAATGCTGGCAGCTAGCAGAAGCTAGCAGAGGCCAGGAATGGGTTCTTCCCTGGAGTCTCCAGAGGAGCTTGGCTCTTTCAGTGCCTGGATTTCAAGTCTGTGATACCAGTTTCAAACTGCAGGCATCCAGAACTGTGAAAGAATAAATTTCTGTTACTATAAGTCATCAACTTTATGTAATGTTAATAGGAACCATGGGAAAATTATACAGGCACTCAAAAAATTAATGTCAGAGAAAATGAAATTAATAGAAGAGAATAAAAGAAATTGTTAGAGAAATATAAGGAATATCTTCAAAGGCTGAGACAGGTTTTAGGATTCAAGAAACAGGAATAGACTACTAGGAAAAGAATCCACTAGAGATTCAGAAAGTGAAAATCTTCAGAGATAGTAGCAGAGGAACGCTTCATCTAAAAGAAAAAGCCAAACAGTTCTTCTAGATTCCAGAGCACAGAGAGAAAGGACAAATCACATGTGAGAGAAATTAGGAGAAATGGAGGCTGGATCTGGAAGTTCCAATATCAGTCTTCTGCTAAAGAAGGGAACAAAAGAAAGAGAAACCCTAAGATAAATGACATGTGAAAAATAGAACACATAAGGACCCACCAGGTGCTAAACATAGTTACATCCTGTAAGTCCTGAATCACCCGCGCCACGGTAGTTGTCAGGTGGTGATTTCTGTTTCTTCCTTCTTTTTAGGTACGTGGGCATTCTGCCCTTCCACTCACAGGAGGTTTCCGTTTGTATAATCCAGTCTGTGTTAACTATCAGTACTTACTTTGGTTTCAGATTGTCCAGTTGGCTTGGGGGGGAGCCCCTTCAGCATAGCTTGTGTGTCATTCTGACCTGCCTCCAACATTCTTTTCACACTTCTTTACGGAGGTAGGCTGAGGAATGGTCCCCCAAAAATGTTCACATCCTAGTTTCCTGAACCACCTGGATTACCCCAGTGGGCCAGCGTAATCAGAAGGCGGTGAGACTAGGGTCAGAAAACGCAGACGTGCAGCAGATGCGAAGGCGGAAGCAGAGTGCAGAGAAAGATAGGAAGATGCACATTGTTGGCCTTGAAGATGGTGGAAGAGCCTTGAGCTTCTTGATGTGATGAGCACTCCTCCTTTTCCGTATCTTGTCTATTGTTGTGATGGAATCCAAGTATCTTGTGGCCTTGTGTGGGTTTTTCTTAAGCTAGAAGCTAGGCTACATTTTCTAGTTACTGATTTTTCCCTATTCTCTTGAACTATAACAGGATTTTTTAATAGCCTACAGATGAAAGCACTTGGTTTTCACTTTGAAGCCACCTTGGAAAGATTAGTTTAAGTACAAAATAATATGCTTTCTTTAAATAAACTTCAAAGGAAACTTATAAGAACTCAAATTAAAACTTACAAATTACCTTAGAGATTATAGTTATTCCTACAGTCTGACAATATAGTGTTTAAGGTAGAGGTGGTGGCAAGCATAAAGGTTACTGGGCCGTCATTTGTATCATTTGCTGTTGAGGGTCTGTGTGCCCAGGACCAGAGCCCATCTCTCTGGGAGGTCGATGCGGAACTGATCAGTTTCTCTGTTGATCCCTGACTTCTTCAAACTGAGGTCCCATGTGTGTTGATTTCAGAGGAGCATCCTAGAGGTGAGAAGTTGTTAAGAGTGTAAATTGCGCATTCAGCCAAACCCAGGGACAAAGTCTAGAAACAGAACCCGTCTTGGCTGGCAGCAGTAGGCAGGTCACTGAATTTTTCTAAACTTAAGGGTTTTTTAAAATTTCTAAAATGGAAAATTCCAGTTTCCTTATTTCTAAAATGGAGATAGTATCTTACAGGGTTGTAGGATTAAATGAGAGAATACAAATAAAATGCTGCAGTGTAGCAAATATTCAAATGGCAGCTAAAATTAATAAAAATTTTAGTTGCCTGGGGTTACTTACTACAGGGCAAATCAGCTCTGATGGTAATCACACAGTAATTATCGCTTCTTACTAATCCCCTCGGCAGCAACCCATCAGCTTTCCACGGTATACTTTTTTTGTTTCTTCCTAAAAGTCTAAAAGTGTGCACGGGGTTAACCAGATTATGTTTCAGTCTTACACATTTGCATTGTGTTTAGTCCAATAGCCACAAAATGGAGAGTGCACTTTCATGCTGACCCCTTAAACGATGTCTGTCCTTTCAGGGCCCTGTGTCCATGTTCTTTCTGCTCTCAATTTGTTTCAGTGACACAGTGTTGCTGTGTGAATGATAAGGGCTTTCCTGGTAGGTGACAGCATAATCATTTCACAATAAATTGGACACCAACATGTTTGTCAACTTTAGTGATATAGCAATTATTTTTGCCAGTTTTAGTAGATCCTATGGTAATAAGAGTTTTTAAGAAAATGTATATCAGAATGCATGCTTTTATTTATTAAATGCTTATGTCAGACAGATTGTGCCATAGAGATGTAATCTTGACTCAGTTGTTAGAAAACAGATAAAGTAGGAAATGTAAGATCTCTGCTTCAGGGAGGCTAGCCAGATTATTGTTTGACCACAGTGCAACGTCTGCCAGGGAAATTAAAACAAAATTTCCTCCCTTAGGAGATTCTGCCTGCTCTCGCTAATGCTGTGTACATACAGGGAATGCCGGGAATTCTGACGTATTGTTGGAGAAAACACTTCAAAAATATCTTGTGTTTTTTTCTGTCTTAGCAACTTCACTGTGTGGTAGTTGGAAGTGAAAATGCCAAGCGATACTTTGAAGCAGTCCAAGGATCAAAAGAGCATCAAGGAGAGCTTTTCGGGATCTGTAACCTCTTCAAGCTGAGATCCCAAGGGTCCTGTCTCACGAGGGACATCCTGGAGGTGTGAAACTGTTCCCTGACCTTTTGGGTAATATTGTAAATACACTTTTCTCCCGCAGGGAGCTTGAAATAATTGCTGGTACCTTTTCAGAGAAATGTTTGGTTTCTTTATCAAAAACGTATATGTTTAGAATGTCTACTTTTAGAGAAACAGGAAATGAACTAAGGTTTTCCCATACATAGGATAAATAACGACATACACAAACACAAATGGAGAACACCAGATCATGTCATTTTCACAGCCACTTTCAGACTGGCAAAGAGAAGTTTATTATTTTTGAAAACAGCTGGTGAAGTCAGGAACTAAAAAAAGGAGATTTTCCTAAATAAACAAAACCATAAACTGTGTTTTGATTAGAAGTTACCAAAGACTCCCCGAGATGCACTCTCACATCTCATAGAGTTTTTTGTTTTCTGTTCCCAATAAACATTCCACATCGACTTCAGGCTCCATCTGTACTCATCCTCAGCATACAGGTGTTTCTTATTCTTCAGACAAGCTGTGATGTCCTTTATAAAAAGTCTTCAAGTTCCCGAAAGCACGAGAATACTGAGCATATTAACCTGTTTCCTCACTGGTTTTAGGATCAGTGTTATAAAGTATTGAGATGTCATCTTTTTCCACCTCATCATATACATAGATGAGGAGACTGCATCACAGAGAACTTCAGGGTATTCCCCCTCACTTCCAGAACTTTGTAGTAAGCCTTGTGTCCTTGATTTAGTCAGTAAGTACCATAGAGATAGTGCAAGCCCTGCCCATCTTGATGGGAGATAGATGAGAACGTTTACATCCTAGGCTAAGCAAGTTCATTTGTAACTCAGAATCACCGCCGATGGATAGGGAAGAGGCGGGCATCCTGCAGGCCTTTACACCATGGTGCAATTTCTAATGTAAGTGTTATCTCTGTCTGGGGAACACTGGTAACTGTTAGGTACCATCTGCTGTGTGCTGCTGAGAGTTTGCTCTGCAGTAAGTATTTGATTCTGACTGCCTGGCCCTGGCGCAGTCATCCTTTCTGTCTCTTCTTGTTTTGAATCTGCTGTTCTCTGGACTCATTCCTTGCCTTTCCTTGTCTCTTGCCAGTAGTTTTGTTTGGCCCCCATTTCACACGCCTGCTTGCTGTTTCCATCTCAGAGTACTGCCCCATAGGCCTGTATTGTGTAAAAACATTAGCATTTGATTATTTGTTCTGTTTTCTGCCATATATGGCACAGTTCAGGTCTCTATTGCATCAGAATAGCCTCCTATTCCTTTGGTAAGTAAGTGCTATATAAGATATATCAAGATAACAAGTTATTAAGTGGAAAGTTCCCTTGTTTACTGGTTGTCCTAAGTATATTTTGTTTTTCCCTTAGGAGTATTTATTAATGAGAGGGTCATCTAAATCTGATAGTTTATTTGTGGTAAAATGCACTAGGCATATTGTTAGTACTCAATAATTTAATTAGATTTTGAATTAAAATTTTGCATTTATCATCAACTAGGACTTAAAGTTATTCAGACGTGGTTAGATTCATGCGGCTTCGGCCAAAATACATTAAATTAAATTTTTTAAAGATTGTATTTATATATTTGAGAGGTAGAGTTGCAGACAGAGGAGAGATAGGAAGAAAAGTCTTCCATCTGCTGGTTCACTCTAGCAGTTCAGATTGCTGAGTGGATCCAAAGCCAGGAGCCAGGAGCTTCTTCTGGGTCTCTCATGTAGGTACAGGGGCCCAAGCAGTTGGGCCATCCTCCAGTGCTTTCCCAGGCCATTAGTAGGGAGCTGGATCAGAAGTGGAACAGCCAGGACATGAACCAGTGTCCATTTGGGATGCTGGCACCTCTGGAAGAGGCGTAACCTGCTATGCCATAGTGCTAGCCCCTCAAAAGGCATTTTTAAGGCCAGCGCCACAGCTCACTAGGCTAATCCTCCGCCTGCGGCACCGGCACCCCGGGTTCTAGTCCTGGTTGGGGCACCGGATTCTGTCCTGGTTGCTCCTCTTCCAGTCCAGCTCTCTGCTGTGGCCTGGGAGTGCAGTGGAGGATGGCCCAAGTCCTTGGGCACTGCACCCGCATGGAAGACCAGAAGGAAGCACCTGGCTCCTGGCTTCAGATCAGCACAACGCACCGGCCATAGCGACCATTTGGGGGGGTGAACCAACAGAAAAAGGAAGACCTTTCTCTCTGTCTCTCTCTGTCTAACTCTGCCTGTCAAAAAAAAAAAAAAAAAGGCATTTTAAAATATTACTATTCAAACTCCTGTATAATGGGAGTATATGTCAAAATTAAGCGTTTTACTTCATGGGATACATTTGAATGTTTTAAAAATTGTAAAACATTTCTTTTAAAGTATTTTAGGATACAGAAATGTGAATTTATATAATACTTTAAGATTTTCAAGCAGTTTGGTTCTATTTTGCATTGACTTGCTTTTATCAATATCATGGTCTCCCCATAGAGATTCTGGGAGATCTTTTCACAAATATTTATTGAGCATCTGCTAAATGTCAAGCATTCCTCATAGAGAGAGACAGACATAAACGAGTAAAACAGACCAAAAATTCTATCTTATCTTTTAGCAGAGGCACTGATGTCCTAGATTCTAGACCATTAAATTCTCCTTGACTTTTTAAGACTCTGTTGATTTACATTCTTGCCTCTTGGGGGAACACAAATAATAAATAGAATAAATAAGTGAAACATATAATGTACTATGATCATTTTCCAGGATAAAAATAGAGCAGGGAGGGGAAACAGAGACTGTCAAGGAATGAACTTTACACTTTAGACAGGATGGCTAAGGACGCCTGCACAGTGAACGTTGCATTCGAGTCTTGAAAGAGGGAGAAAGGTGTGTTTTAGATGGAGGGAACAAGCGCAAAGGCAGGGAGGCCCCAGTGGCTGGAATGGAGTAAACAAGGGGTGAGAGAGATGACTGGAGCCAGGACATGCAGAGATTCTCACCTTGAGCGAGGCAAAGAGCCACTGGAGGGTTCTGAACAGAGGAATGGAAGTCTGCTGAGCATTAGGCTGAAGAAGTACAGGGCTGAAGCAAGAAGCCATTTAGGAGAGTACTGCAGAGATGACAGTGGCTCGGGTCAGAGTGATACAGCAGAAGGTGTGAGAAGTGCCCGGATTCTGTATATGTTATCCACTTGGCCCCCACAGGATTTGCTGATGGATCAGAGGTAGGCCACGAGAACACAGGAGTTAAGGATACCTCCGAGGTATTTGACATTTACCTAACCTAAAGGAGTCTCTCCAGCTTGAGGCCTGCACCTGTTGTGGCTATTTAGCTTCTGTGGAAAAGGCAAATGGCAGCACTGGGGAGGTGGTTCCCTCATGCCATTGAAGTAATAACCTCCAGGCAGGGACCATTAGACTTCTGTCAGGAACATTCTCACTCATTTCTCTGGATGACAGGTAGCAGTATCATGCTGTTGGTGAATCCGTGTACCCATTAGCTGGGCGTTTGTAACTCTGGGGATGGTCGTATTGTTTCCCCTTGCTGTATCAACAAATTGAGCCTTAAAAAGGCAAGTAGAGGGGCAGGTGCTGTGGCATAGTGGGCTAAGCCTCCGCCTGCAGCACAAGCAACCCATATGGGTGCCAGTTCCTGTCCCGGCTGCTCCTCTTCTGATCCAGCTCTCTGCTTTTGGCCTGGGAAAGCAATGAAAGATGGCCCAAGTCCTTGGGCACCTGCACACACATGGGAGACCTAGAAGAAGCTCCTGGCTCCTGGCTTCAGATTGGCTCAGCTCCTGCCATTGTTGCCATTTGGGGATTGAAGCAGTGGGTGGAAGCCCTTTCTCTGTGTTTCTCCTTTTCTCTGTAACTCTCTACCTTTCAAATAAATAAATAAGTAAATAAATAAAATCTTTGAAAGAAAAAAAGAAGTCAAGGAGAATTTAATATTCTAGAATCTAGGCCGTTAGTACCCTTGCTAAAAGATAAACCAAAAGCTTCAAGGTGCAGATACTTCCCCAGAGATGTGGCAAGCTGGTGCTATAATTGAGGTATTGTATTTTGCCTTCATGTTGGGATAGACCTTTTTGTTTGGATATCTACTACACTTTAGGGCTTGATAGATATTCTTAATGAATATGTATAATAAATATGCTAGCTACGGCTACAATAGCAAGTTCCAATGTTCAAATTGCCCAAGGTGTTGAAATGTTGCTAATATGTCCTTACTATAATTTTTATGCAGTAATGGTTGTTATGTATATCATTACTAGGTAAATATATAACATTTTTTCACTTCCCCTGTTCCCACCAGTGCTTTTAATGGAGTTGCTGGAATGTGTTATTAGTTTTCTACTCTAAAACAGTAATCTTTAAGACAAGAATTAAGAGTATTTTTAAATGCCATATAAAACTGTACATGACTTCCTTAATCAGCAAATTGAAAAATAACATTAAGAATGCTTGGGGCCAGCACTATGGCGCAGTGGGTTAAGCTGCCGTCTGCAACGCTGGCATCCCATATGGGCACCAGTTCTAGTCCCGGCTACTCCACTTCCAATCCAGCTCTCTGCTAATGCAGAGAAAGCAGTGGAAGATGGCCCAAGTGCTAGGGCCCCTATACCCATGTGGGAGACCCAGAAGAAGCTCCTGACCCCTTGTCGTTGTGGCCTTTTCAGGAGTGAACCAACGCATAGAAAATCTCTCTCTGTCTCTGTCTCTGTCTCTCTCTCTCTCTCTCTCTCTGTAATTCTGACTTTCAAATAAATATATAAATCTTTTTAAAAAATGCTAAAGCAAGCTGGTTTTCCTTTCTTAACTCTAGGATTCAACATGCCATCACTGTTATCAGTTAGTTTTTACCCTCTGTTTTGCACAGTTATTTGCATTCTTTCTTGTTGACATTATAGAGAGAAGGCCAAGTGGAAGCAGGGATCATGACAGCTACAACGTGGTTGAAGGAGGGACCTCCAGCGCATAACCTAGAAACAGTAAGTAATACTGGAATCCGCTGCCTGCCACACCCAGAAAACATGCACTGTTTCCACTTCCAGTTTATTTACCCTTCCCTTCATTTTTCAATGTGTAAAGAAAATGGTTTCTTAAAAAATCAAAGACTATCTATGAAACTAATCATTTAGGCTGATTTACTATTCATGTCATAAGAACAAATTCAGGAGCAATCATTAGGCATTTATATCTGCACTGGAATTGTAACAACACCACACTGTAAATCCAAAATTAAATGCACCATGTAGATGACTAACTTAACCCAAATTTTTTTACTAACCTGCAAATTGAATGGGAAAAATAGCCATCAATGTGTGTGTAAGATGAATAAATCCTTGCTATTTTTATCAAAGTGAGTCTCTGATTCAAATATCTGCTGCATCCTTAATCTTGTGGTCTTTTTAGTAGCTTGCCATCTTTCCTACCACAAAAATCTGTGTTGTCATCAACAGGCCTTTATAGAGGTAGAAAATATGGGGAAGGTTTTGTTGTTGCTGCTGGCTTTTTCTTGTTTGTTTTTAGAGATTTAACTATAAACTTATACCAGCCTGATGACTTTGGATTTGTGTTGAACATTTTCTGAGTTTAGGGAAATATATCCATATCAAATGTTGACAGAAGAATGACTAAATACTTTCCAAAGATATTTTACTAATAAAGCTTCAGTTTGGGAAACTGATTGAAGTATTTAACTCTGATTCTATGAAAAAAAATTAAATTTATAACAATTTGCTTTTTACTTCAAAATTTTATTTATTTCTAGTGATCAAGATCCTATTGATGTGATTTTTTATCAGTTAGCACCATTATCTAATTGTTTGCCCCATTAACACTTGTAACTTTGTTTTGTTCTTAAAGCATGGTTGGAAGTTTGCTGGGCTACAGTAAACCCCAGTAATCCCTACACAATGAGTTGTATGTTTCACTTTTTAAATTCACAATTGTGAATCCTGGTGTCTTAGAAGCTAACCACTCCACTCTGATTTATTTAAAAATAATTTGACTACATTTAACCCCTACTAGTTTCAGAAAGTTATTAACTTGAAAATAGAAAAGACTATACCAACTGTAACATTCAATCCTTTATCTGTTTATTAAATGTATTTCTAGAAAAACATCAGCTGATCCATTTGTACCTAGATTATCTGTCCAAAGTTAATTCCCTCCCACTGTGATAGATTCAGTATCATTGACATTTTCCAATGTTTCTCTGCAGTCTAAAGAGCCTGTCAGTCAAGAACCCAGAGGCCCAGGGCGAGCTGCGGAGCCAGCCAGGGAGGCATGGGAGCTCTGCAGCGACTTCAGTGAGGACGAGTCGGGGGGAACCTCGAGAGTAAAGACTGCAGTAAGCAAAGCACTGGAGTCGAGCAAAGCTCCCGGTCCTCCAGGACAGCTTACCTTACTCCAGTGTGGCTTCTCTAAACTGCTGGAGGCCAAGCGTGCAGCAGTCGAGGATAGCGATGGCAGCGTCACCTCTGATGATGCAAGCTCTGATGAGCACGGGCAGCCCTCGAACCTTTCAGCAGGCGCCAAAGAGGCTGGCTGTCAGGGGAGCCAACATTCCCTCGGCGCTTCACGGCATCCCAGCTTAAATGACACCTTGAGTCCAAGTGAAAAGTCTATTTTTGATAAAAATGAGAAGACTTTAGAACAGAGTGTTTCTTCTGAGTCTGATGATGAGAAGAACTTTAAAAATACTGCACATCCCTGCATTTTACAGAATGTCACAGAATCGGAAGATAGTGATGTCATCTTTCCCACACAGTATACAGCTCAGAATAAGCCAGCCTTGGATGGATCTGAAGATTCGGAAACAGAAAATCCTATAAAAATAAGAAACAATGGTGGTGGTAAAAAGACTGATGACAGAGGAAATGGGCAGATTTCAAAACAATCAAATCCTGAGGTCTGTTATGAAAGAAAAGGCCCTGGTGATGTCAGTGACGAATCTGATGACATTGAAATTTCCCCCAAGTCAAGAGTAAGAAAGCAAAGAGCATCAAGGCCTAGGAGAAAAAAGGAAGTCAAAAGAGAACTTTACAATTCCACTAACACCACAAAGAAAGCAACCCGACTGCGTACTGTGCGTGAGGATAGTAACTCTCAGATTATTGATGATTTCTCATCCTCTGATGATGATTCACCTGTCAGTCCCTTCAGTTTCTCTAAACAGAGTCACAGATCAAAAACTATAAAAGATAGAATCAGTCTCTCTTCAAAATTGCCTGGGCATTGTAAGAAAAATAGCCCTTTCACACCAAGGGAACTTCCAAATGAGAATGACATCAATCAAAAGCAGATGAGCGAATCAATGGATAAATTTCTAGGTAACGATAGACACATTCTAACAACTTCATATATCTGTCCTGTGCAATCAGATGGCTCTGTAAGATTCTTGAATGTGCTACATTGAGGTACAAATAAGGGTGGGGGTGGGAGACAGGAAGAAAGACCAGGTGGGTCATGGTAAAGGACTTAGCTGCCCAGGGACCCTTCCATGTGCCTCATCCAAATCACAACCCAGTATGCTGACATCTAGTAATTATTTATCTGCACGTGCATGACTTTTATCACACAAATGAGCATCCTTAGAATTACAGTTTAGCCTTATCCATTTTTTTAAAGGTTTATTTATTTTTGTTTGAAAGTCAGAGTTACAGAAAGAGAGGGAGAGACAGAGAGAGATCCTTCATCTGCTGGTTTATTCCCCAAATGGCCACAACTGCCAGGGCTGGCTGGACCAGGCCAAAGCCAGGAGCCTGGAACTCCATCCAGGTCTCCCACATGGGTACAAGGGCCCAAGCATTTGGACCATCTGCTGCTACTTTCCCAGGCGCAGTGACAGGGAGCTGGATCAGAAGTGGAGGATCCGGGGATAGAACCGAAGCCTAGGTGTGTAAGAGGCTAGCACTGCAGGCAGCGGCCTAACCTGTTAGGCCACAACACTGGCCCCTGCCTCATCTACTTTTAAGAATTTTTCTATGATCTTGTTTAATATTTAGGAATTCTCCATCTGTTTCATTGTCTTACAATTTAACTCTTGAAAAACCTAGAAACTCCTGGCTCCTGGATTTGTCCTGGCCCAGCCCTAGCTGTTGAAGCCACTTGAGAAATGAACCAACAAATTGAGGATCTCTCTCTCTCTCTCTCTCTCTCTCTCTCTTTTTTTTTTTTTTTTTTGACAGGCAGAGTGGACAGTGAGAGAGAGAGACAGAGAGAAAGGTCTTCCTTTGCCGTTGGTTCACCCTCCAATGGCCGCCGCGGCTGGCGCACTGCGGCCAGTGCACCGCGCTGATCCGATGGCAGGAGCCAGGTACTTCTCCTGGTCTCCCATGGGGTGCAGGGCCCAAGTACTTGGGCCATCCTCTACTGCACTCCCTGGCCACAGCAGAGAGCTGGCCTGGAAGAGGGGCAACCGGGACAGAATCCGGCGCCCCAACCGGGACTAGAACCCAGTGTGCCGGCGCCGCAAGGCGGAGGATTAGCCTAGTGAGCCGTGGCGCCGGCCCCTCTCTCTCTCTCAATCTCTCTCTCTCTCTCTCTGCCTCTCTCTCTCTCTCTCTGCCTCTCTATCTCTGTAGCTGCCTTTCAAGTAAATAAATAAATCTTTTAAAAGAGAGAAAAACCTGGACCATCTAGATAGTTTCCCTCAATCTGCATGTTGCTGATTATACTGACATGCTCTCAGTGCCATTGGACGTGTTCATCCATCCTCTGTGCTGTCCTTAGATGAGCAGTTAACACCAAGACTGGGTCAGACTCAGGTTCAATTCCTTTGGATGTTTGCTCTTCAGCCTCTTTATGGTCTGAGCAGCCATTGATGCTTAATGTCTGTACCTGTTTGTTTATTCAGAGTTGCAAAATGGTATTTTCTACTTCTCTCCTTTCTTCTACCTTAGAATGCTTTTGTCAAGAGCGTCTTCCCCTCATGTACTGTTGCTTACCCAGCAACATATGGTTCATATGCTTAAGTTTTTTTTCTTATTTCAACCATTTATTTCCAGTGATTTTTTTGATATTCATATTATAGAATTTTCAGAGTAAAAGACTGTAAGTCTCAGGCCATTTTATCCTTTCTATGAGCCAAAATATATTGGCAGATATATAAGATATATATTTGTTCTGTATATAGTACTTGTTCACACACACACAGACACCAGAGAAAACCAGAGGAAAGTGAAATAAGAGCTGAGCTTTTAGGTACGCAGCCTACATCTTGGGATGCCAGTCAGCGCTTCTTGAATTCTAGCATGTGTTAGTTTTTGGCCTCTCATTTGAACCTGCGCTAATGTGCATTTTCCATAGTGGTAGATATGAAACGCTGCCACCAATTTAAGCAAATTTGCATCCATTGATTTCATCTGGAAATAGCTTCCGGAGTCCTCCCTATGTGCTTACGGAAACAACAGTGATGATGAACTCTTAAATTCTGCAATTCCAGTTAATTCACATCTGTCACCATTGGTTTATTCTCCAGAATAGATGATCATAAACAATGTATATTGCCAAACCATAACCACCAATGAACCCTAACAAAGTCTATCTATCTATCTTCGTCATCATCATCTTCAGTGTCCTAGTTCTTATTGAATGAATATGATTCAGTTTAATCCAGTCTATGGCAGACAAACCTATGTACCTAGCACGTCTCACACAGAATTAAATTTGGCAATCTCAATGAGGAAAAAAATCAGCCTAGACAAATGGATTTCTAAGATGTGGCAAAGAACAACAAATAAATAATATCAAACATAATAAACATTGGCTACACTCCACTGAGATTGGTGAATGTGAAAGAGAATTTCAAAATATCACCTCTACTTCGTTTATTTCAACTTTAACCCTTCTGCTAATACTTTCTGCTATAAACATAATCCATTTAAAATTATAATTTAAATTGCTGAAAATTTTGTCTTAAATCCTTCTTCTAGTCTTAACTGAAAGTTCTCTAGAAAATATATGGCAAGATCCACAGGTATTTTTGGTTGTCCCAATTGAAAGGGAAACATTAATAGCTAATGGATAGAGACCAAAGTGATATTACAAACATCCCACAATGCACAGAATAGCCATCCAAAGCAAATAATTCTACCCCAAATACCCATGATGATGAGGTTGAGAAATCCTGCTAGAGGCCTTCCTCCCCCCCTTTTTTTCCTTAGTTTTTTTTACTTTTTTAAAATTTTTAATAGTTTTTTTTAAGATGAACAAATTTCATGTATTTCATATATGCAGATTTAGGAGCATAGTGATACTTACCACCCACCCTCCCTCCTGCCCCCACTCCCTCCTCCTTACTTTCTTATTCTTTTTATTTTTACGATGATCTACTTTCAGTTTGTTTTATACCCATAAGATTAACCCTGGAGCCGGTGCCATGGCTCACTTGGTTAATCCTCCGCCTGCAGCACTGGCATCCCATATGGGCACTGGGTTCTAGTCCCAGCTGCTCCTCTTCCAGTCCAGCTCTCTGCTGCGGCCTGGGAGGGCAGTGGAGGATGGCCCAAGTGCTTGGGCCCTGCACCCGCATGGGAGACCAGGAGGAAACACCTAGCTCCTGGCTTCGGATCAGCGCAGCGCCGGCTGTGGCGGCCATTTGGGGAGTGAACCAATGGAAGGAAGACCTTTCTCTCTGTTTCTCTCTCACTGTCTGTAACTCTACCTGTAAAATAAATAAATAAATAAAAGAAAAAGATTAACCTACACTAAGTAAAGAATTCAACAAATAGTAAGAAGAAAAAAACACTGTTCCTCAACAATAGAGACAAGGGCTGTAAACCATCATTGAATCTCAACATGTTGTTTTTCTTTTTAATTTAATACTTTTCATTCTTAATTCTTTTTCTTAAAATAGCAATACTACCACAATATGATAACTGGAAACAGGGTTCTTTTTTTTTTTTTTAACATATACTCTCCCACCTCTTCCCATTTTAAAAATGGATGTGCTTCCTCTGAATTGTGAGAAATGCAGATATTGCTTTATATACTCTCCTTCTTAGACTTCAGTTCTTCTTGGTTTACAGGTAGCTGTAAATTCAGAGCTTCCCATAAATCCTTCTGTCTGTGTTTACTCTTATCATTTTGGTGGTCTAAAGCTTTTATTCTAGTAGATTTCTCAAGAAGTGCTCATAAGAATAAGATTCTCTGAGATTCTTGTGATAGCAGTTTGTGCCCTTCTATCCTAAATGTCAGTTTTGCTGGCTATAAAATCCTTGGCTCAGACTTTCTTGAGTGTCTTACATTTGTAGGTTCTATTCTTTCTGGAATGAAGTGTTATGCCTCATGCATTTTTTTGCTCTTAGATGTCCAGGAGATTTTTGTCTTCTTTGCTCTCCAGTGAATTTAATGGATTGTCTCATGGTGTAGAATATTCTGAACCAATAGTCTCTCACACACAGTATAGTTCCCACTTGATTTTTTGTTGTTGTTCTGGGAAAGGTTTCTTGTGCTAGTGGTTTGTTAGTTACTTGTTCTATTCCTTTGCTTTGGTTCTCTCCTTTTTATTATTTTACTTTTTAAAATAATAATACCATCTTACATTTAAAAAAAAAAGATTTATATATTTCTTTGAAAGTCAGAATTAGGGAGAGATCTTCCATCTGCTAGGCCAGGCAGAAGCCGAGCTTCATCTGGGTGGCAGGGGACCAAACATTTGGGCCACCTTCTGCTGCTTTTTCCCCGGCCAGTAGCAGGGAGCTGGTCAGAAGCGGAGTGGCCAGGGAAGCCAACGCCCATATGAGATGCAGGCATCACAGGCAGGGACTTCACCCACTACGCCGTGACACCTGCTCCCGGTTCTCTTCTTTAGGGACTCCTACTAGACAAGTGTTGAATCTTTGCCTGTCTTCCTTTATCACATTCTTGCAAATCCTTTTTATCTTTTTCTTCACTTCTTTTTGCTTTTAAAAATTCCTTTCAATTTCTCTTACAGCATTATTGCTTGCATTTACGCCCTATTATGTCTCTTCAAGTTTCGTCTTCATGTCTGAAATATTTTTTGTTAATTTCTAAGTCCTTCCTGAGTTCCATCATTCATTTCTGAGTTATTCTGATTCTGATATGTGTTGTTGATCCATGTGTTTTTATCATTTTGTAAGATCTCTAGCCTCATTTTGAAATCAGTTACAGTTTGCAACTGTTTTGTGAGCACATTTTGCTGGCATGTTTTCATTGTAAAGATATTATTCTGTAGCTTATTCTTTTTTCTCGTAATAATTTTTCATATTTGATCCTGATATTTTTCTCTTGCACGTTTTAATATGAAATTATTTGCCCTGAACTTGTCTTTTCATGAGGCAGAGTCTAGGCAATCTTTTCTAACTCCACGGAGGTCCAAATGTTTTTCTTGTGTAGTGTTCAGAACTGTGGTAGGACGTGCTCTCTGTAGACTTCTCTTTCCCTCGTCCCTGTTCTTCCTCACCTGCTCATTTTGGTTTCCTGCTCAGCACTTTCCTCTCTTTGTTGGACTCTAATGGGGGTGGAAACCCTGTGGGTCAGTTTGGTGAATTCCTCGTGGGTAGCCTGTTCCAGCCCTTTCAGACCTTCTTTACTGTGAACCCCTGCACCCTCTCGGCACTGGAGAGCAAAACGCCTGCCCAGATTCAGCTGGTCCCCCAGCTGTCCGCTGCATGCCTGGAGGCTCTTCCGGAGCCTGCTGTTCTCAAATCTGCCAGATGCCACCCTGTGGCTTCCTTCTTTCTTCACTCAGACCCTAATACCATCCAGAGGCTGTGGCTATATGGTGGATTATCCCTTCTTGCTTGTATTTTAGGGCTCATCATCTAATTTTGTTATAAATATTGTCCACGCACTTTCAGTTTTACTCTATAATTTCATTTGAAAGTTCATCATGATTTATATTTTGGCACCATTTTTACTGTGGACTGTATTATCCATTGGTTGTGTGCCACAGTTAGATTTTAGGTGTGAGGAATTGTTGCAAAAGCTGTGTTTCAGATAATCAGCTAAGCTGGCATTATTGTTTTGTTTTTGCTTTTATTGTGCAAAAGGTATCAGTAGTGCAGAGCTAATGCTATTTTGAATAATGCTTGTGGTCAGAATTAAGAAAAAATCCCAGGAAATCTACCAGAGAATCTATTGGAAGGTTTTGAAACCGAGTGCCATGCAGACTGCCTGGTTTGAGATTTTAGGAGAACGCCGTCCTGGTTACCACTTAACAACATCATGCAGAACTGGCAATTTCTGGTTGAGAGGAGTTCAGGACCAAAGCCGCGCAGTGTGTAAGGTCGTAACTAGGGCTCACTGCCAGAGCTGTGTGAGGGAGCTTTCACAGGCCTCGGTTCCAGCCTTCTCTTTTATGACCACAATTTAAAAATAAATTATAGGTGCCTAGAAGCAAAGCAGTAAAAAATAGAGCAATTTTTAAAACCTCTTTCAGATAAAAGCCATGCGTTAATTTTTTTCATTTCCTAAAAAGTTCCCATCTTGACATTCTCTGGGCATATACACAAAAAAGACAAAATACAAACAGTAAAACTGAGCAAAGCCAACCAAACTCAACTCCCTGGTCATAAACCCCTTGCTCCCATTCCATCACTGCTGTAACCAGCCACATGTTTAAAGATGCAGATCAGGCCAGGCTGCTCCTTAGATTAACAGACAACTTCTTGAAATTAACAAAGAAAACAAAGGCACAGAACTCTCACCGTGACTTTCCTCTTGGCCAAAAGCCCCATTTCAGGTCGCAATTTAAAGGCTGTTACCAGATCTCAGCAGTTCCTATATTGGTATGAGGGAAAAGTCATTTCCAAGTCATTTTTTGGTTTCTTGGTCTGTTTGCTTGTTTGTTTTTTTGAAAGAATGTTGTGATGTTAACACACAAACTAAATGTTCTTCTTGAGGAGTAAAACTAAAGCGTAGCCTGTGTTTAGTGCGATGCCATCATTTTTAGAAGTATCCATGAGTCAGTTTGACTCCATGTTGTTGAAGCCATAGGGCTTGCTAATGAGACATTACTTGATAATCTCCCATTGCCTCCTAGATGGTGTTCAGGAAGTGGCTTACATTCACTCAAACCAGAATGTGATTGGATCCAGCAAAGCTGAAAATCACATGAGTCGATGGGCAGCACGGGATGTGTTTGAGCTGAAGCAGTTTTCCCAGCTTCCTGCCAACATAGCCGTCTGCAGTGCTAAGGTAAGAAGAATGTAAGATAATATCATCCAAGTTTAATTTTTAAACTCATTGTTCCCAGAAGATACTCAATAGGATCCTCTCTAGGCACTCCCTCAAAAGCAGCTTCTAAAACCCATGGTGACTTGCAAGTGTGAGAAAACAAGATGACCTCTCGGGGAACTATAGTCACTGAAGATGTTTTGATTAAAAGACAGATCTCTCTGTCTACAAGGGTCCTTCAGAAAGCTCATGGAATGTAGAAGACAAGCTTATTTTGCGCAGAAGTTTTAGATATGTGTGCATGGTCTTTTTGAGACCTGCTGCTGCGATTTGCCTCACGATTCCCCTCAGGGAGAATTTGCCTGTGCCCTTCAAGAAGAGGGGACTGAGGGAATCCAGCAGTTAAACCAGAACCCAAATGAATTCTGCCCGTGTGGAAAAAGGAAAGGGTACGATTAGATTTCACCCAAAATTTTCATTTAAAATGAGGAGATACACAAAACAGTAACCTCATACAGAATTTACATATTTAACACATATTTAACAAGTGGTTTTTATAATGTTAAAAAAAAGTAAGTACTTCTTATAGGCTCTTTCCCCTGAAAATTGCTGCTTGTATGTGAGAATGAAGCTTTCTATAAATTGTGATAATATTTGTTTATACATAATCACTTTGATCAAGGATTTCAAAAACATTTTCTTATTGTTGGCTTGGTCTTTACTGTTTCCTTAGAGCTAAGCATCTGAGGAGTAATTCACTGCCAGTGTGTTGCTAGCAGTTAAGAGATGTGCAGTGTGCATGCAGGGATCATCCTTATTCTCTCCCGCTGCACCGCTTTGAAGAGTGGAGGGAAGCAAACGTTCTCCCAGTCTGTCAGGCTGTTTGTTTGCACCTCACATTGTTCAAGAAAGGATTCAAATGGTGTTGGCAATAAAACCAGAGTACAGAATGAAATTCAGACCAGAGAAAATATAAAGTGGAGGGCCGAGACTGGGAGATAATTAGAATGCAGATACATAGGACATAATGGTCTACCCAGATATTTTATTAAAATAACAAACTTAATTGAATTTCCTTTTGGACAAAACAAAGGACAGCAACAGTCTATTTAATGGCTCTCAACTGGTGTGTTTAGAAATGTGTGTGGGCAGTTTGGGTGGCCACATTGACTGAGCACCCAATTGGCATTGCTGTCGCAGCGCCAGGGATACGGAGTGCCTGCCCTGCACAGGGGCAGGGTGGGGAGAGGGGCAGTCTCACATGCAAAGAATTGTTCTGCACAAAGTGGCCTCATGTGCTGCTGAGAAGCACTGAGCTAAACGGTTGACCTGAAAGAGAAAAAAACACCAGTTCTTCTAAATGGAGCAAAGCTCTCCTAGCGCTCCATTTGAAGGAAACGCGTCATCTGAGGTTTTAATGGAAGCCCTGAATGATCTAGTGAACAAGCAGTTGTCTTATAAATCCTTGGAGTAAATGTAATAACAGACTGAAAGGCTGTGCTTGCTAGCATAGTTCAATGTACTCCAAAGGCACAGCGCCAAAGTGCAACTCACGGAAGCATTTTTTCATGACCCAAGTACGCTGCTTTCTGATGTTCTCAGTTGAGCTAGGAATATACCGTCTCCCAACCAGCCCTGTAGACAGCATTTCCATGGCTGGACTGTCTGTAGGAGCCATCTGAAAATGCAGGCGGATGTATGTTGGGTTTTCCAGAAATTTGCTTTGTTAGAATAAAGGGTATATCGGAATCATTTTCTCAAGTTTTGTAAAAGAATGTTTAACAGGCACATAAAAATTATCTGTATGGGGTGCCAGTTTTGATCCACATATACATTGTATAATGTCCAATTAGAGTAATATATCTATCTCTTCAAACATTAACATTTATTTATGGTAAAAATATTTTTTAAAATTGTATCTCTTAGCTTGTTTTTCTGATGACAAAAATATGTAGTACATTAGCATTAATATCTATTAACTAATAATATAATATATGTTATATGTTATATAACATATAACATGTATGTTATATATAACATGTAATATATGTTTTATATATAGCGTATATTATAATAATAATAGTTCCTCCAGAAATGACCTGAGAAGCCACACCTAGGGCAAGCTTTGCAAGCTTCCTAGGTCAAGTTATAAAAATGAAAGTGCTGGAAATATAATTTACCACTGTTTTCAGGCCCAAAGTTTTAGAGGTGGACGACACAGTCTCATCAGTCTCACAGAGGTTTTCTGCGTGAGGTGGGCGTCCCTGCCTGCATCCCTGCAAAGGGGTCCTCAGATGCCGGCCAGGCTGTGTATCTGCCCATCACACATCCAATTTAGTCGACTCTTTCTAGGGAGTAGGAAGAAATGTGTTGTTGAATGACTCACTTTTGGTGGCTATAAAAAAATTCAAGGAAGTTTTAAAAATCACAAAGCCAAAGATCCAATCCTGTGCCACCAGCGTTCGCGGGCCGGAATGATCCACATCTGCTCACACATTCCAGTGGTTCACTTTCGTAAGTGCGTATTTAATGCAGTGAGATTCCAGTCCGGCGTTTCAAAGCCATCTGTAGAATTCCTGAGAATGAGGTGTCCACAGTCCTTATTCAGTCACGTCTGGGCAGCATCACTGTAGTATCTGTTATAGAGAAATCACTGAAGCGCCGTCATCTGTGGTCGCTTTTGTCACTCACTGGGAGATTTTGTCATGGTGGGTGGCAATGGTGAATTTGCTGTTAAAAAAAAAAAATTAATAGCTATGGGAAGAAAAGAGAGTGAAAGAGGGGGAAGGGAAATGAAGCAAGAACAAAAGAGACTTAGTCACAGTGTCAGAGAATACCTGCAAACCTCTTGCTCCTAAAGTCTCCAAAGAATCCAGACCTCCCACCTGCAGTACAGTATCTTTCATCCGGGGCTCAGATCCAGAATCTTTTGATTACTGAGAGTTCTGCAGAGTGCTTCGTGTCTGTCGTCAAGGTTTTATTAAATAACTTTACTTGTGTTTGAAAAGACGGTGTATGTTCGTGTGCACATGCAGGGGTGTGGGGGGAGGTATGTGTGTGTCTGCAGCCAGCTGCATTTGGGATGCCTCACTGTTTAAGAAACTAAAACAAATACTGTTTGTTTGTATGAAGCCAACACAGGGACAGCAATGGCCACGATATATCAGTATTTCACTTTCTGCGGAATGCTGTACTTTGGGACCAAGTTAGAGCTTTTGACTAAATCATAAAGGAGTATGTATACTAAATGGAAAACTTAGGAGGGAAAGAAAATGGATCCCACAATCCTACATAAGCTCCTGTAGCCTTTCTCAGGGCTTTTTGATGCAATTATTGCTAAACAAAATGACACAGTCTGTGAACCTACTTTTCAAATCCAACCATCTATTAAGAAAAGGCCTAAAGCATACTATGTTGTCCATGTTTCCTTTGGTTTCTTACAGTTTCTTCCTTTATAAATTAATTCCCACTTACAGAATACATTTTATAATGCTCTCAATTAAAATGTCGCTCTCCTAAAATTTCTATACTTTTGTCGTTTGACAAGACAAGCTAAATTTTAAGGTTTTAATGTGCAAGAAAGGATCATGAACTCATTTGCCTTCCATTGTACTTAGATATTTTTAAACTTTTTGACTACCCTTCATTTTAAAAGATAAGATGTCTGATAACAGGAGGGAGAAACTGTGTGAGGGAGATTTAACCCCAGCCCAAAAAGAAACATTTTAAGCATGTGAAGGCACGAACAATACCTGTAAGAGAGTTCATTTGTCCTTTTAATGTGTGGAAGTATGTCACAGAACTTCACTGTACATGTTTGTGATGTGGTGCCTCCTCTTTTCAGTCAACTGCGTGTTTTCAACTTCAGTTTACTTAAAGTTTTCTGAAAAGAAGTGTACAAAGACAGCATTCAATTAAGGATTACTCACCATGGCAACTGAGATGTGCTGACTGAAGGATGAGGATGTATTCTCCCCTCAGTTTCCTGCCAGCTGTCATAGCCAACCTCTGCTGCCTGAACCCAAGCCAACACATAGACTGCCACCAACTCTCAGAAACTATATCTGTATTTGTATAAATTGGTACAAGTATCAGACTATAAAAGAAGACTTAATCCCCTGAATTGGATGACAGACACTTGGCACTCTTGCCACTGTTTGACAGAGAAATAACGGGTTGCTTTGTAGTCCAACCTGGGTTAATAGTAAGCCCTCCTTTTTGCTGCTGCGGAGTGGTGTAAATGAGAGGAGTGAGCGTGCGGTCAGCCCGGGCTGGGCGGTGGCGTGGGGGAGCGCCTTGGCCGTAGCCCGGGCTGTCAGAGCAGCCTCAGAGGACTGTAAGTAGAAAAGGCTGTGTGAGCAAGAGCTTCTCCTTAGCGTTCGCGTGAGGTTGGCATTTTGTAGATTATTTAAAGAAGGGCTTCGTGCGCTCCCGTAGCATTGGCTCCAGTGTGTTTGCATAGCTTTGGGAGCCAGCAAGGAGGGACAGACTGTGTACAGTGAGTGAGCAGACTGGGGAGGGCGAGCCTCCCATTATCCTGGTTTTCAGGATAGTGAATGGACTGATAGCTTGAAGTGATTGTTCACAACTGACTGGCTTATGAAGTAGTCCAGGAGGTAAGGTTGATGGTTTCAGCATGTAACGGAATTAACCCTTACTGGGTGGGATTTTTTTCCTGGTCTTATCATTTACCTTCCTCTGGTTGGATTTTAGTGTTACAGTGTTTGCATCAGAAAGTTATTCTTTCAACTAATTTTGGTAGAGATTAAGTTGTTTTAATTGTATGTGCAAATGGGTGAAATCATGTGACTAGTGTTGGCATGAAAAGGGTTATGTTCTAGCCTACAACGAGGGTTGATTGTAGTGGGATTCTGTTTCAGAAAGATAGTGTATCATTTGAGTAAAGCAACCTGTTACCTGGTTGGAGGGAGGAGACCGCAATGTTAACTATGATACATACGCCCCAGCCACCCCATCCTCTCCCAGCTGGAGGCTGTGTGCAGCTGTAGCTGCCTTCCTCA